TTTCCCGCGATCTCCGTCGTGAAATGACATTGAATCGAGAAATTATATTATGATAAAATTTTAAACTTCAAAATTACAAAACTGACACTTTTGAAAATGATTCTTATCGACTATAAAACGACTATAAATCGACTTCTATAACTAATTAAAATGAAAAACCTGGCAGAGCACAACTATGTACATTTTTATACGCTCAGATGAACAAGCTTTCATTATATATTAACTGTAATAATGTAACGACATTTTGTACGTCACACTTAAATATTAAAAAACATAGATTTATAACTCACTCTAAATGAATTCACAAAACACAGTTTCCAATGAAGGAAAATCTCTATCAGAAATAACTATACAATTTATAAAGATAATTTAAAGACGTTTTGTATAGATAATTACCGTAAGAATTGTAAAATTATGCGCTTTAATCTTTGACTTTGCGACATTCTCTCCGACTTGAGAAACGCTTTAAAGACCATTCTGGTTTACTGCCAGCGGCATGAATTAACACTCGACCACGTTTATCGTCGACTGTGAATCACCGAGACATACGTGTTTCATGAGAAATGTAAACGCGACAATTATTCCGCTACGCCAAATAACCCGACGCTGATTCGTCTCGTTAAATCGAGCAAAGTTGCATCTAGAAATGCTTTGACTGGATAATGATCTTGTTATTTCTTCGGAATGTAACATCGCAATTATATTAAACTTCTATCATATATATTTTCAATACAACATTTTATTTCTTTCGCTTTTTTGTGTCGTTTGCATATTTCATTACGACACTGATGGATTGAATTCACGAAATTCTCGCTTCATCGCATTTGCTTCTCATCGATTCATTAGTAGAATCGATTATACAAATCACGACGTATAAACAAACGCACGAAATTTTCTGCAAGATCAATCGAACGTCTATGATCGTACAATTTTTCGTATTCGTGAAGATCGTCTCATTTCATTTCAAAGTAACACAGTCACAAAGAGATGGCATCAAGAGTGAAAAGCGAACCTCGGGAATATTTTCTCCGAGTTCGTTTGCGTTCGTTCTCGTCGACTGGGGACACAATTTCCACTTTTCAAAGAGCCAGAAGAAATTCCGGCCTGCTGATAGGAACAGCGAGTTGGTAAAACCAAATATGTATTTCGCAGCTGCTTTGATCACCTTCGCGGCGAAAACGCCCACAGCAAACGAAAGGAGACCGACGAGAAGCCGACGAAAAACGCGAAAGCTTGTACGTCCACACTCTCGTTTCCGTCCCTATACAATTTTTCTTTCTTTTTTCGAAAACGCAGATTCACGAGTTTGTGTACGTACAGGTACATTTGTGTGCTTTGCCTTCCGAAAGGCGATGCGACCCGAATGCGAAGAGGACAGTTCGGTCTTTTTAACTGCCAGGATTAATTAATGTCGGTCCTTCGTGAGAAATACCGGACCGACGTTACTTTTAAAGGCGCAGAGGATTCCACGCGACGGAAATAAGGACGAACACGATGCCGACGGTACCAAGTGATTAAACTTTCTCGGTACGTGTTTGAGCAGGAATAATTAAAACTTTCTCTCTCTCTCTCTCTCTCTCTCTCTCTCTCTTCCTCCCTCTCCCCCCTCTCTCTCTCCTCACGAGCAAAGAATAAAGCGTACCTTGACGAGCGGTATGACGTAAAGAGATAATAGAGTATGCATGCGGGAAGATTCTCTATAAGTGTCCATGGCTGTAATAGAACATTGGCGAACGAGAGACGAGTCAATAAATTGAGAGTAGAAAGCCAAATGTTAAATCGATTGCTTTGCACTTAATTTTAAAAGCGATTATCTGATTCTTATTCAAATATTAATATTAAATATAATCATCATATTAAATCACTAAACTGTTAAATCAAGTAGCTATATTTAATACTTGACTAAATATAGTCTGTTATATATATGCGCATAGCTTAGCGCCGAGACACTACCAGTGTCTCTAAATAATTATATATATATATATATATTTTAATTTATAATCTATGATATGTGTATCGATTGGATATGCATATTTCTTCAAATTTAGCCTGTCATTTTCGTATCATATAAAACTACCACAAGTTAAAATAACATAGAATATTGTAACCGATATTTCTGAAATTTAAGCAAAATTTATGCTCCAGGGTACATGTATTCATAACCCCATACGAAATTCGAACTGTCACGATCGTCACTATCGAAAATAAAATGGACACCGGTCGCCGAAAGCATTTTCAGTGAGCCATATTACGTCGCTGCTCGCAAATATTCAGCTTGATGGTTGATTGAAGGATATTCTGCACGCAGCTAAAAATATCCGCGTATTCGCGCCAACGAGCTTTCCTATACTCGAATAAAAAATCGTTATGTTATTTTGATATAAGATCTATAAGCAATGTAATATTCGTTTTTTTTTTATATGTCGCTCGTAAATCCCATGCGTGTTAAAGAATCCAACAGACGACCAACTGTAATTTTTGTATTCCAACCTGTGCGTACTTATATTTCAAATACTTCTGAAAACTATTTTAAAGGCAAATTTTTCGGCAAATTTTTAATTAACTTTCCCTTAATCAAAATTTCTAAAATCCATGAATAACGAAAATACTTAATCCTCGGGAGGTATTATACGTAAGAGATACATCAAAATGTGTTTGTAAATATCTTTAACGACACCTATTGGATAAACAGTAGCTGTTATATGAGTCATTAAAATTCTAACAGCACATCGTATGTGGTCAGATAGGCAGTTGGGATCATATTACAATGTTACACAAAAAAATATAAATTTTAATAAATTGTAGTTATTTGAATAAAACAACCATATTACTTTCCATATTACTTTCTCATTCATATTAGTTTCTTTTTTTGCAAAAAATAACCTTGCAATACCGATGTAAGATATTTGTATCTCTAAGATACACCGCGATTTCCCAAGAATTAATAAATTTCACATGAAAATTTATTCACATACTCAAAAAAATTAATATTAAAAATAAAATAAAACGTTTTTCATTAGTGCGTTTCGTACTGACAGTAAAAACATGTCTCTATTTATCCAAAAAAATTGCTATAAAACAAATATTTCAGGAATATGCAACCAAGTTGGGAAATTAATACATTTAAATTGCATCGGATGGTTTTTATATTTCATCGATACAAATAAAAAGATCAATGATCGGTTGCAGTATATTTGAACAAATATCGCGTTTTCAAACAGAACTCATGCAGAAGATAAATGAACCAAGTTTTAATAGCAACCAAATAGCCGTCGGTGTCCATAGGGAAAATCCGAATTTATGAACCTCCAGAAGGATTTAATTTATTTAAATTTCAGACTGGTAAGCCAGGTTTAAATCCTGATTTACCACAAGGCTTTCCTTGTTACACGCACATGCGCACTTACTAGCTAGGCTTAAAAGAACTGTTATCACAAGTGCTTTCATGCAATTTTCGTGAATGCATAACCATAAAAAAATTAATAATCCACAGACAATATTTCATGTCATGGAAAGAGCTAATTAGAAAAATAGTAAAAGTTTTTACAAACCAACTTTTTATCTATGTAATCGTAAGTGATTTTGTACGTATAAAAATTCAGGAAATATATCCATATGTAATATATCCATATGTAACTGTGTATGTGTTCACTGTAAATAAATTAATTTTTATGAAACCAGGATATTATAAAAATAAATGCAAAGTATGCAACGCGTTACTAACAGAAAAGTATATATACTGATATTTTATCTCGTAGAATCTTTTATACAAAAGATAAATCTTCAATTTTATTCTTTCTTCTGATTTACTATCTTTTTCCAGCAACTGATGTTTAAAACACTAGCTAGTCGATTTCGAAAAAAGATATACATATAAGACGAATACAACGTATAAGAAATAAAAAGCATGTAACGGTATAGATCGCTGAATTATCTGAAAACTTCCGCGATTGGGTCGTAGTTCAAGCGCTGGGAAAACACGTTTCAAGCACAAACCCATTAATCATCGAAGTAGGAGGCACCGATGACTGATGAGATACTTAACTTAACTCGCATCTAGATAGGTCGAAGATCACTAACGCTTAAAAAGAAAAACTGATCGACTTCGTTTCCAACAATGGAGCTTGCATCCGCATACATCATCCGACCTGACTGATTTTAGATACTTTGCAGTATAATGTATACAAAAAAGAACATATAAACTAAGAATTTGTCACATCAAGGAGTGATTCTGAAAAATCTAGATATATGTTTGTAAAGTTTCTACATAATACATGCTTATGTTTCTAAAATGCATAAAATTGCAAACAGTACATATGTAGCAAACGTAATACAAAGTATTTTATATAAAATATATATAAAATGTGTTTTCTTCTGTTTTTAAACTTTAAATCTTGACTATGATCGATGACTAATAAGATAATTCGTATTTAGGTGGATCAAAGATCACTAATGCTTAAAATTATTCTTATGTTTGTACCTATATATTATACACAAAACTCTTTCGGTATTTCTATCATTGGAAGAATTTTGAGAGTTTGTATTGTGATAGACATTCCCCAGAAAAGATTTAACACGTTATACGCGTGGACAGCGAGGTTTATTCGCATCATTCTTTCTTTTCTCTCTCTCTCTCTCTCTCTCTCTCTCTCTCTCTCTCTTTCTCTCTCTTTGCAAAGTTAAGTAATTGGAAGGCCCGGTTCTAGTGATTTATCACCGGCTTCTTGACGCACGAAAGGGCGCACAGAGTTAGAGAGGAGGTTGGCGTCTCAAGCGGAGATTGTTGCCACGTTGACCAATGATCGATCGTTCCGATAGATGCAACGCTATTGTGAGCAGCCGTATGTTACTGGTCCTCGCATCGAATGGTGATTAAGTGATTTCCGCGAGAAAAATTGCGAATCAAATCTACGAAGATGTCGGCTTATCTCTTTGCTTATAAGAATATCTCACTCGAGGATCTCGTTACATCGAAACATTTTAGTCTGTCATGATTTCAGGTCAGAACGATATCAAGAAATTGCGCAGAGAGAACGAGCAGCTGCGTAGAGAAATATGGAGTCTCAGGGACGAGTACGACAAACTTGAGGAAATTTTGAAGAAACAGAAAAACCCTGACGAAAGCGAAGAGTACGAGGTTAGCAGATTTTTAATTGCGTCATGCTGTAACTCATAATAAAATAATATAATATAATGAGACCACATTAATAAATAACAAGAAAACTAGCAACAAAACTCCGTCCCTATACCTTTCCTTAAAATGTTAACTAATAAAAACATAATTGCTATAATTAACAATAACGATATGTAGGAACATGCCACGAATTACAGGATCGCTCCGAGGAGGATGATGGGTTGCAGTCGGACTTTTCCTGCGAGGAGGACGAAGAGGAATGCGAAGATAATGAGAAGATGGTCAAGGACTTCAACCAAGAAGAACAGCTAGAAAACGCGGAGAATCAGAAGATCTCTTCCGAAAAGATGAGCAGCAATATGCATCGACTTCACGTGGAGTTCGACGATCTGTCGGTTGTTGACGAGGAGGAAGAGCTAAAGAGAGATAAGGAGAAGAAGGAGACGACACCGGAGAAGGATCAGGGAAACGAGGCTGTCGGGCATCCACCCCCGCCGATTCTCAATCCCCGACAACTTCACGATAACATCCCGTTTTATCCGGCCACGTACGAGCCGCCGAGTGGTTTCAGCGGAACCAGTTATTACACCGAATGCCCGTTCGAGTTCCCAAGTACGGTAGATTTAATGCTACCCACGGACACGTCCGTATTATTGGCTTCACCATACTCCGGATTACAGTCTGATCCATTGATCCCGCTGGCCAACTTAGACGTCGGGAGTCTAGAAGTAGCCGATCCGATGTTACCTCAAATTCACGTCCCACCCATCGGTTGGCAAAACGACATGGTCTCTCAAAAACAAGCACCTACTTATACGGATAGCATCACTCCTGTCGTATCAACAACGGGAACAGGAAAGCCGGACTCGCCGATAGTTTCCTCAATGGGAAGTTCAGTGCCGCCGTCAAATATTTTCAGTTTGTTAAGAAAAAGAAATGCAAGTACGAGGCAACCCACGAAGCTTTATGAAACATCAACTATTCGAGATTCACGAACGCAGTTTTCCGAAGAAACGGTCGGTAAAAATGTACGGAACGTGGATTCTCTTGGATCCGTTATGGTAAATGGAGAAAAGGATATGCAGCGAGTTGAGAACGAAGATGCTATGATGTTCACGGTACTGGAAAAGCCTAAACCGTTCTTCTCGCCACAGCCTTTCAAGCTAAAAAAACAAGAAGAAGAGTCGCCAACCGCCAGTATAAGTCATTTTGGAACTGGAACTAGTTCGAGCAGTGGCAAAACGGCTTCCACGGTTATTTCTAGGATTAATCCTTTCGCAGAATTAAAAGGTTCGGCGGATATTTATATAAACGGCGCGATACCTTGTGAAGACGCTTCGAAAGATAAAAATGATCCAAAGGCATTTTTGAGTATAGATAATCTACTGATCACGGATAGCAGAAGTGTTCTAGGTAATCAATTGACAAAATCAGTCTCCTGTCAAGATCTCTCGAGTGAGTCGCAAAGTGCGCAACAATTAAAACTGAATCACGTTGATTCTCAGACACTTACAAAAAGCGACAATACTTTGGACAATATAAGTGGTACCTTTAATAAACCGTACAAGAGTCACCTAAATGTGACATTAAAGGTACCACGAGCCGAGCAAGCACCTAGTCCAGAGACACCAGATGTACCCAATCTACCCTCGATAGATTACCGTCTCTTTAGAAATCCTTTTCTAAGAAACTTCAACAAGATCTGTCCTAACTATCAAGTAAAACCAAATCCTCCTACCACGACGCCACTCTCTATTCACGTAAACGATGATGACCTTGCTTATCCTATGCCGAGTTACAGTCGAGGTGTTCACCTCAACGAGAGATTTCGAACTGCACATATATCGGATCAGAATCGACTGCTGATACCCAGCGACCAACTGATGAGCGATAAGCAGGATATTCAAGTAACTTCCTTCGAAAAACCGAGTCCTTGCACCTTAATACCTTCTGCCACGCCTTACGATTTGACGACTTTGAGAAGATTAAACGCAAATCGATATCTGCAGAATCAGCATCTGTACCAAAACGTTCCCTTCGTATCGCGAGGTCAATTTTATTCTCCGAGATGTGGAATGATGTACTATGATAACGTCACAAAGGTACCGGCGCAAACGCAGACATCAATTGACGGCGACTCGCATCACGAGGACGAAGAGACAATTAGCGTACCAAATTCGCCGAACGGACAGAGACGGAAAAAAATCGTGAAGAAAGAAAAAACTCTAATTAAGGACCAAAAACCGCTATCGCCGGGAATACAAAAAAAACTGAAAAAACAGATTATCGCCACGTCGACAGATACACTCGATTCACAAGGAAAATTGACACGGAAGAAACCGAGGAGATTAAGCACAACGACGTCTGATGCGCAAGAGAACAAGAACGAAAGCAGGTCATCGTCCTCAGGACAGGAATCACCACGTAAGGATCAAAACCGAAAAGTGTCCGTCTACATTAATTCTAAAAGACGACCGTCTCAAGCTTCATTAAAAACATTGAGAAGTGGCAGTGTCGATGCCAAAGACAAGTTTACGGATGGTATCGCGTTGAATTCAGACCGTGAAAGAACAAACTCGGTCAGTAGTCGGGAAATCACCCACGTGAAAACTCGCAAGACTAGTACTAGTAGTGGTAATGTGCCATGGTGCGCGTGTTGGGGGAACGGTTGCATTTAATCGGAGTTGCATATTCAATCCCATTCAAGGATACAGCTAGAAAACTAAATGCAAAAAGTGAAGTGTTAACTAATTTTAATATCGAAGTATGCAATTATTAGTTAATTATTATATATAAACAACGTCCATTATTTTCGTAATCAACGTTTTATTTTATTGTAAAATTAATCTCGATGCTTTGAAAAGAAATTGCCAAGTTAATTTATATATATTATAACTTAAAATTATCATGAAGATAAACTATAAAACATATTATTGCACTATTATCATCGTCTCGGAAATTAATGTTCATTATCTAGTTACTAAAAAAAAAAATTGAATCATATACTTTAAAAAATCAGCGATGTTTTCCATTAAAAAAAATTAATGCATTATTTTATAGATACTGATCTATTTATATCATATCATCTGGATATCTCTTAGTAATCTGATCTCGTATGCATCTCGCAAAACATTAAAACATTAAAACAAGAAGCTATCGCTTGAACCGGATACAGTGGCCCTTATTTATTTAAGACAGCTGCGATTTGTGTCAACAACGAGAGGTTCTTGCTACTTTCTGATTCTCGGGCCAAGAGAGAGCCAGATCGACTGAATAATTCGAAGGACAAATACCAAAGGGAAATGCTGATGGGCCGCGGAATGAATTCAGGAAGGAAGACCTTAACTTCCCGGTGTAAGGGAACCGCCATTGTAGCCGGTAACGCAGGTCGTAAAACAAGCACAGACAGTGGTACTATGGTGTTACGAACGCTGTCACAACGGGGTGACAGTTGTATCTAAACTAGTTCTGCCAAGAGACTAGGAAGACGGGCCTGCATCCGCTCTTAACGCAAATTTACTAGGGTTAGCAAGCGCAAGCTCGCTTCCTACCCTTGTTCTAAGCACGCGTGCGAATAATGGTATATATTCTCGAATTATGTAGCTCTAGTAGCGATTATTTATGATTACATTTCTCAAACAATATAAAAGTTTGAGATATCTAAAATATTGGATACTTTTAGGAAATTTTTCAGATTGTGTGTTAATTTGCCATGTTTTATATAAATTAAGTCCTATTTGCGAATTTGTATGTATAACTTAAAACCAAAATTTTTTATTTAAACAATTCTTTACAACGAAAGCTGTTATCTATCGTTAATTATCTGTATGCGTTAGTTATTAATTATAAAAGTATTATTTTATTATATGCCGCAAAACTAAGTAAAATACTGTATGTACAAAATAACATTTTTAGTCATTTGTTGTAGTTACATATTTTATTGCATTTTGATGTTTTAATTTAAAGAATTGTAAAGAAATTGTACCAAAATGTGGCAATAAGTATTCTACGCATTTATAGCAGATTAATTTTAAAATAATAATAATCAGATAGTAAATGTACATAAATAATTGTATGCTGTATTAGAGTAATGTAACATGTATTGTACATATTTGTATATTTTAATAATTAATTCAATATATATTCATAATTAATTTATATAAATATATATATATATACAATATTAGAAAGAGTCTAGAACAATTCTTATAATGTGTGCTTTAATAACGCATTATACTTTTATACTTTACGCGTTTTAAAATACAACATCGATGTATTTGGTATTCAAGTAAATTATTATTTCATATATCTCTAATGACCATTAGGTAATAATACTCCCAGCCATTCTCACATTATGTCCGCGAATCATCGATTATCCGGTTGCGTGAAATTTATTAATGGCCCAAGGGGTACAAGGGAAACTTAGCGGCAAAGTTCGCGACTATCCCTTCGCAGGAACTTCTGCGCGCCATTATTCGTCGTTCAATTACGCGCGAAAATGAAGAGAGAAAGATAATGAAAAACGAGAGACAACATTATGCTCTTCAGATTTTATGAGATTCCAGAAAAACAATTAAAATTCTGTATAAATAAGACAATTAGCCTTTCACATTGTAAAATAATTATCACGTAAAATACGAGTTTTCACATGATTCTTGAATTCGAATTGTATTTTATTCTTGCATTTAAATAATTAATATATTTGTTGTATACAATTTTTTTTATTTTTCAAATTGTTTTAAAACTTACAATTCTTACATATTTAAAAAATTTTATGTTATTATTTACAATAAATCTGTTTGAAGTTAAAACAGACAAATTTCTTAGGCATAAGAAAAAGTATCTCTTAGCAAGAAGATTTTAGTAACGGATGTACAAAAATAATATTATTCGACATTATGAGCACTCATCCCACATTTCACTAATCGCTGCTGCAACATCTGGTAATATATTTAGCGCACTGACGAACACGTAGAAGTATCAACCTCTTAAATTACCGTACCATAAACGTAATTTGTATTCCCGAGAATTGTAACTAACAACAGCAAATTTAAATAAAAAATGCCAATGATATTCAAGCAAATCTTTGTGAGAAACTGGGAAGAGCTGGCTGGAGTCGCGAAAAACGAGTGTCAGCGAGAGCGGCAAGGAAGGTTGCCAGTGCAATTAAAATGCAAATCATCCCTTTTCCCGCGGCCTGTCCGCTAGACCATCTTTCCAGGAGGTCTCCGGTCCTCGCAACTCTACACCATAATGGTAACGCCGTCACCGATTAACTTGGAACTAGTTTAGGAACGACTCGACTCGGCTCGGCTCTGCTCGGTTGCGTGAAGTCACACAAGGAGCGGGAACAAGACGCAGTCTTTCGCTTGGTCTCTCTCGCAAAGTGCCACGTAAATGGAAGATGGTACGTTAATACGGTCTAACATCATTTGCAAATGTCACTACGAGACATGCTCCCGGCATCCAACGCGAGGTACGTGAGAGAGATACGCTTCGTCTTATCGTAGAAAGAACAGACCTCTCATGCACTGCGGCGAATATGGAAATTATAATAGAAGTTTCTAAAATTGTTTTAATACTATATATACCCGTACGCGTATACATATATATACATACATATACGTGAACTCGCATTAAGATGTTTAAGAACTAAGAAATTCAATATTAATTACTGCCTAATTTCTTAAAATTATATTATCTTTACATTACATTTTTAACATGCATTAGTCGTGGATACTCAAACCAATATATCACCCCATTGCTTTAAATATTTACATTTGACATATTTACATATCTTCCTTATACATATTTCTTATAAATGCAAATCAGACTATAGTTATGTATACATATGTGTTTGAATTTTATACCTATATTTTTATGAAAAATCATCGTTAAGGAATTTCTATCTTTTATATTTAGATATTTTCTCAATATTGTTCAGGAGTTCAGTCAAAATAAGAGAGAGAATCTAATTACACGTAAATTCCAAAGTTTTATTTCATATTTCTTGTGCTCTGCTCAGACGAACAAATCGTTACCGAGACGAGTATGCAGATTAGTCGCGAGGCAGTGGCAATATCGCTGTCATCTGTCTGCAAAATAACTGCGGAATGCGGACAGGCCGGAAGTAACATCGCATTGTCTTCATGGAAATAGTGCGGAACAAGATGGAAGAGACAGTACCTTAATGGCCTGATTTCATTTGCAAATGTCATCAAGAATTTTCACTCTGCCCGACGATGGAAATGTCTCGCGTTTCTCATGCGAGATGATAAGCATAATAATATACAGTGACATAATTCTTGCTAACGCATACTACTTAATTAATTATGCGGAAGAGTTGCTTCTGCTCGCATTCAATTTACAGATTACTAAACTGCATTATGTCTTGGCATATGAAAGTATATCTACAAAAGTACTGTCACGAGCAATATAATTAAAATATATATAATAATGAGTGAAACTCATCCTACAAATATATAGCAATACATTAAAATGAAACAATTTCAAAATCCTTTGAAAACGATTTTTATAAAAATATTAGGAAAAACATTTAAAAAAGATGCTATAAAGTTGAACTTTCTTTTGGTATCAAAGATTTGTTTTTCAGTTTATACAATAGTTTATCAATTCGTTGAAATCAATATTAATTTTCTGCGTAAACACCGTAAAGTGCCAAAAAATTTAACTTTAGATAACTTAACTTCAAATTTAGTTTGCAAAAAGACATGTCTAAAATTTCGATTATCTATGTCCAAACATATGTTTATTTGTGTGTATCTCGTTTATTGTAGATCTCAATTTAAGACTGACTCGTCTCTCAGTTAGTATTTATAAATATAAAATATGAGACGTAATTATCCGCTGTTACAACGCTCGTTAAAATAATAAGCTTTAATTACACACTTCGTAAACCTACTGTGAACCCCGTATAAGTTACGATCAGGTTATTGACAGCGGACATGACGGCGCCAACTCAGATTTTTGTAGAAAAAACCTGTTGAACGATTCACGGTAAAAGAATAAAGAATAAACACACTCGAGACGAGATCTTGCTATGTTAACTCCGTGCAGTCACGTAAATTGCACTCAATAATTTCATCGAGAAACGTGCATGTATAAAATTTGTATAATGATTTTCGACAAAAGAATATGCATGACAGAGGAACTAGACGGTGATATGGCAATGTGCCTTACAGTCCCTGGAAACTTCGCAGAGAAGAAAAAATCAAGGGCGCGATCAGCACGAGTTTCACTTGAAAGAAATTTCCGTCTTTCGAATTCGCGAAAGCTCTTACAAGGATCCACGAATCCGTCTCTGTCCTCGCTGTTTCCCGTCGCTTTGCATTATGAACTTTCACGAAAGTTTCGCGAGCCTTTAACTTGAACAGCGCGGACCCTTCGTCCTGGCAGAAATTTCATGCAAGTTCCATTACGCTTTGCGCAATTTTACGATTATGTTTCCGCGGTAATCAGTCCTTATTGCTGAACTTTCTAGATTTAAAAATAACAGACTCTTTATGTGTGCGTAAAAATTTAAATTAAAATTTTCCCATCTGGCCTTATAAATTGATATAAGGTTTATTATATGTACATATATAACAAATTGTATCAAATAATACAAGTCCGTGCAAACTATATTAATAATAGGTAAAAGCTATTGTAATAAAATAATTTAAAGCAAGAAAAGCGTCTTTTTGATCCCAACATGCAAGCAAATATGTTATTAAAAAGATATATTAATAGAAGATTTAGTAATTTATCTTTTAAAAAACTATTTTGTA